TTATATATTAATATATTTTATTAATATTATTAATTTCATTATTGATTTTCATACAGAAATAGAGTTACCCCCTTGATCTCCAAACATTATTTTTTTTAATGACAGCGTTCGTTTTTATATTAAAATTTATAATTCTTATTTTCAATCTTAAATGTTAATCTGAGCTTAAATTTAAATCTCAGATTAAACTACAATTCATTTAAACACTTAACAACAATAATTCAGCCTAACAATATAATATCTTGTGATAACCAGACGTATTAAACAGTGTAAACCCAAAAATTGCACCTGAAGATTGCAGATGGCATGAAACTCTGAGTTGTCCAACTAACGTAGGGTATTATGCATATGTTTTTAATATATTAAATAATTCTGTTATTTAACATTGAGCACTGTTTTTTCTTACATTATAGGGTGTGTATATATATATATATATTATATATATATTACATAACAGGGAAATCCAAAATAACCTCATGAGTATAGGAATTTATATGCTGTTATAATAGATACATTGAGCTCTTTTTGTGGATCAGTTTTAATATTTTATCTTATTAGGATCCACTTGGATTATATACCAATGGATTTACTACCTGTACTATATATATATATATACACACACACAAATGCATACAAGGGTAGCTTGTTCTAATTCCACATGCCATGCCATTTTTGTATATCTCAGTTAATTCCCTTTAGTAACTCAACTCTCCAAGTTTCTTTTGTTCCCTCTGATGTGGACAGGTATTGAACTCACAACTCTTTTGGTGAAGTTACTTTTTGGATCATTCAACCATTGCTTTTATCAACTGGGCCATGTGTCCACAGCAGAGGAAACAAAAAAAAACTTGGAGGGTTGAATTACTAAAGGCAAAAAAAAGGCATGACACATGGAATTAGAAGAATTTACCCCTGCCGACTAAATAAAGGGTTCAGTTCAAAATTCCAACTTATTGCACCTGAAGAAGGCCAGAGCATACAACAGCTGAAACATTGTGAAAATGGCAATAAAGATGAGGAGAACAGTCCGAACAAAGTAAATAGTGTAAATGGTTATAATACATCGTCTGAGAAATAAAGACAGATGTTAAATAAGAACTAACCATGTTCAGTAGAACAACAATTGACCCTCATAGATTAAATAAAATATTCAGTTTAAAAAGTTACCAGAACTTGCAAATGCTTAATGAAGGCCAGAGGGCATAACAACTGAAATATTGTGATAACAACAAAGATGAGGATTCATTTCTGTTGTTTTTGGAACTACTTTCTTACATTATTTAAGTTTCTTGCTAAACATAAAGCTTAACATTTGCATTAAATCTCAGATTTGGAAATGATAGAAATGGGCAGAATTAATTCTTTTTTAAAGTATATGCTTTCCAAAAACTGAGCAAAGTATTAAGAAACAAGAAAATTTTGTCAGAAACAAAGAACCAAACTGGATATAATCATAAACTACATCTGCATCCTGGGTAAGACAATAAACTACATCCAACAGCAAGGCCTCTGATCAGTAGGTTTTGAGGAGCATGGAACCACATCTTAATTGCTGGTGTTTCCAGGTCCACTCTGACCTTGGGTGGTAGCACCTGTTAGGGTCCCAGCTATGGGCAAATAGTTAACCCCCAAACTGGGGTCAAAACACTATGAAAGTGTAAAAATAGGTTTTAATACCAGCAATACATTTTTGGAAAAATTATTACCAGTAATACATTTTGGAAAAAAAAAATACCACCAATACATTATTACCAGTAGTACATTTTTGAAAAAAAAAATATCTGCAATAAAAATCTTGTTGGCATTAAATAACCCATTGAGGTTGATATGTGTAAAACAAACCAAACCAAACCAGAATCAAAGAAAAGACTGCTGAACTGCTATGTAATATTAATTTTTCTATATGGAAGTGAATGTTAGACAATTTCCGCACAGATAAAGTGAAAACTTGAAACAAGAGATGTGGTTCTACAAAAGGATGCTAAGAAGACCATAGACAGAGCATGTAAGCATCAAGGAAGTTTTCAGGAAAAGGGAAACAAAAAGAACAGGGAAATTGATGGATAGTAAAAAGCCAAGGATTGCTAAGGGCTACAAAGAATAGAAAGTTGTGGAGAGCCATGATTACCCACTGCTTGAAGGGACACAATACATAGAAGTTACAGTAACACATTACCATAACATTTAAATTTTATAATTTTATTGTTTTTCATTTTAGTTGTTTTTTTTTAATTCTGTTGTTATAGTAACATAATGCTGACTCACTTTAAGTAGCACCAAGTATGATTCATATTACCATAACATCAGCCCCTTCATAGGACATGGAGCAAAAATGTACCTAAGTCTACTTCCAGAGGTCTGTCCCCTCTCTAAGCAGCCCTTAAAGGGCAAGCATCTGAGTCAACCTCTGATGTCTTAAGCATCACAAAAGTGTCAAGGGAAGTGAACAATTCCTTGCGTTACCCAAAGATATACTTGCAGCACTCCACATTGTATCAAACCTAAAATCAAGTGTAAGTAAGTAAATAGCCTCATGTTACTATCAGGGATTTTTCTCATTATTTACTAAGTAATTACAACCAGGATGCTGATCATTACTTGACAATTGGTGAGTCTATTGTTACAGACAAAAATAAACATAAAAAGTAATACTGTTCATTATTATTTATAATGATTAGTGTTAGTCTTTTGTTTTTATTGTTAGTCAATTTTGTTTTATTGGCCTTGAGACAAGGTTAGCTTCCTCCTTATAATAACTACTGACTAATATTTTGAGACAGGGCTCAACAATCTTTCGGAGAGAGCGGGCCAGACAGCTATGCAGTGTCTCAGAAGAGGGACATGATATCAAATGTACTATAATAAATTATTTTAACCTCAGACCATTCCATCCAGAAGGTTGCCTTGGTCTGGAGAAACTTTCTTTACAGCAATTGTTTCTTGACAAATTAAGCAAACACATTTTCTGAAGTGCTCAATGAAAAAGTATCCAGCTTTCGTTAAAATTTTGGCATTCAAAATCCACTTTTCTTTTCTTAGTTTCCATGGGCTTGTTTTTATTCAGACTAAAAAAACTTCTGGAAAGGAAAGAAAAAAAGATTATGGTAATTGAGTTAAGATGAATTACAGTTAGGTTGGCGAGCTGGACTAAAATCCTTTGCGGGCCAGATGTAGGCTAGGGGCTGCCGACCACTGTTTTAAAGGATAAAACATTTGAGCTAAAAATTAATTTATAAATGTAGGATGACATATGTAAATCTAGCTCATGATCCTAACTAAATAGAACATTCTCACTAGGTGCATTATCAAAATAAAATATTAAATTCTTGTAGTCAAAAGCTCTAATTATGTAACATTCATCCCGTACAAGAAGCTACTTGGTTACGACCTCCTGATCAGGATGAATGCGATGAAGTAATTAAGGGGAGTAGGAATCCCTCCTTCAGATGCAGTGGAGTTCTTTGACAGAAAACCATCTCTGCTCTCACCATAGAGGAACTGGACTTTAGCGTTGAGTTTGATCAGAAAAAGAAAGCGTGGACGGCGTCATGGAAGTTGGATGAAAATGAGGCACCAACGAGCCTATGAAACAAGATGGGTCTGGGAGTAGGAGAGCTATATAATACCAGTTTTCTTCTTGGTCGATAGAGCACTCTCAACATGCGAATGTGTAGAAAATGGACAAGACAAACACATTATCTTTCTAACAGTAATGAAAGATCTTCAAGCAAAGAAAATAATGTGACACAGAAATCCAAAGATGAAAGATGCCTTCCAAAATATTAAGAAACAGGAAAATTTCATGAGAAACAAAGAAGAGTTCTGAACTGTTATGTAATATAAATCATCCTTTATAGCTGTGAATGGGGGACATTTTCCTTACAGATGAAGTGAAGACTTTAGACAACAGAGAAGTGGTTCTACAGAAGGATGTTGAGAATATCATGGACAGAACAATGAAGAAATTTTAAGGAAAATAGTAACAAAAATGACACTAGAAAGAGACAGTTAAAATTTCTAAAACACATAATGAGGAAAGGTTTGGAGAATTTGATACTCAGAGGATATTAAACGCAAGAGTAACCTATCTAAAGAAAGAGGTTGTGCGATAATGAATGGCAAAAATGTTTTTATCTTTCTGCTTTGAACTACGAAAGATAGAAAGTTGTAAAGAGCCATGATCCCCCACATCACGAATGGGTACGGCACATCAAAAGGTTTTAACTACTCACTTAGATCTTGATAAAACAATTTTTGAAGGCCACATGTTTTCTTTTTTCAAGAAAATAAATTCCTATTGACAATTTTTTCATTTAAAAATAAACAGAAACTTAAGTTTAGAAAATTATTTTTCCAGTTTCGTGATATTTCAAGGGAGATAAACAAAAGTTTTATCGAAGATTCAGATGTTATTTTTAATTTTTCTAACCATCAAATTAGTTTTGGATCGAACATATCTAAAAAAAAAAAAAGAAAAGTTTTTTATTTTCTTAAAAAAAAAAAAAGTAAAAGTAGCCGGATATTTTTAATTAACACATTTCAAAAGATATACAATTTATTTATGGAAACCTACATCAAATGACAAGTCTCTGAAAAAAAAAAAAAAAAAAAAAAAAATTAAAAAAAAAAAGAAGTACTAAAAATTTACCTTAGAAATTATCTTTAAAAAGTTTGTTTTTTTGATACATTCATTTTTTTGGGACACCGCGTGTTTTAATTCAACTAGTTATTAGTAAGAAGATATAAATAAATAAAAAAGTCACAGTGCCGAAAAAACCATCTTTCTGGGGTTTTTTGGAGAGAGGGTAATTGTAAAACCTTAAATATGCTTCTTTTTTTTTAATTACCAAAAGTAAACAAAACATGCATTAATTGTCCGTTCTGTTTTTGTAGCGTAGACTGGAAGTGTAGAGAGAGGTTAATAAACACCGCTTTTTACAGTTCTTAATTTACTTTTGTGGGTCGTTCTATCGTTAGGTTTTTGATTATATTTAACTTAC